CTGGCCCCACGGTTGGCCTCTGGGCACACATGCTGAAAAGCTCTCGGCGGGTCTCTGGTGAGCCCCAACCCGCCCTCTAGACAACATCTTCAATGGAGGAGTTTGAGGAGGGAGGGGGAGTAACGTGTAGGGGCAGGTCGAGGTGGGAAGCAGGCTCTCTCCCCACAGCATCTCTTTAATAACAATAAAGCCTTTTTCAAACATCAGCGGTCCCCAGCCAGAGGGACCAGCAGGACCATGGCGTCCATCACACAGGGAAGGTTGGCGGTGGGAGCTGGGCTCTGCTTGGAGAAAGGCAGGATCGCTCCAGAAAGGGAGGCAGAGTCATGCCCCTGGACTTTGGCTTACGGCCTGAACCAGTCTGGGGCCCCATGGGGCCCGGATTCTCCCAGAGCAGCAGGGTTTGATGGACTTGAGCAGCTCCGGCCCCATCCAGCAGGGGGCAGCGCTACAGCCGGGTCCTGTGGGCTTTGGGGCTGCGTTGGAGACAAAGTCCCACGTCTCGGCTCTGGAGTCCGACATCTGCCTTGCTTGCTGCGTCCGGCAAGAACAGCAGCCCCGGCTGCGTGTGCTCCCCGAGCCCCCACAACCCCCTCCGGGGCCCCTAGAGTCCTGGGCCCCGGCCCCACCCCGAGGTCTGAACCGGTGCCAGCCAGCGGGCGCTCGTGTGGGTCTGCCTAGGCTGAGATGGGCACGTGGCCGTCGCTGCCCTCGCTCCAGTCGGTCACCCATTCCTTCTTCTGGATGGTGCCCGTCTTCTCCTCATGGAACTGCTGGCGCTCCTCCCGGGGGATCTTGACAGCGTGGTACTGCGGCACCGCGGCCGGCTGGTAGCGGGTGCGCTTGAAGAAGCCCAGCTGGGAAGATGCCAGAGAAGCAGAGTCAGTGCCCAGCCCTCTGGCTCATGGGGGGCACCTGGGAAGGGCTGGGCCAGGGCAGATGAAGGCTTCATTTGGCTGTAGGAGGGGTGCCTGGCCAGGGAGAATGTAGGCAGGGTGCAAAGGAAGTAGGCGGTCTGGTAATGACCTGAGCCACTGGGGACCAGGTGATGGTTCTCATCCCCCGGCGGAAAAACAAGCTGCAAGCAGCCTGGGACGGCCCCTTCAAGCCAGCAGCTGAATGAGGTGGGATGGAGGGTTTTACCCTGGCTTACATGGATGGTATTTGTGTCATTAGCCAGACCTGGGAGGACCACGTGTCCCAGGTCAGCCAAGTGCTGGACCAGCTGCAGGGGCTGGGCTGACTCTAAAGGCTGGAGGTGCAAGGAGGGGATGACCGAGGTGTCCTACTTGGGCCACAAGGTGGGGAGCAGCTGCGTAAAGCCAGAGCCAGCCAAGGTGGAGGCCATGAGAGGCTGGCCAGACCCTCAGACCTAGAAGCAGGTCCAGGCCTTTGTTGGGACGGTAGGGCACTTCCAGAGGTTCGTGCCCCGCTTTAACTCCATCGCCACCCCCATCACTGAGCTGCGTAAGAAGGGGAAGCCAGACAAGGTGGTGAGACCAAGCCGTGCCAGAGGGCTCTCTGCGCATTGTAAGAGACCTTGGGCAGAGCCCCAGTGCTGGTAAACCCAGACTGTGACAAGCCCTTTATGTTGTTCACCGATGACTCAGACACAGGGCCGAGTGTGGTGCTAATGCAGGGAGATGACAAAAGGGGAACACCACCCCATTGCGTACTTGAGCAAAAGGCTGCTGCCCCAGGAACAGAACTATGCAGCCATAGGGTACATCTACACAGCAGGGCTGAAGTCGAAGTAAGCTACACCAGTGTTTCTCAACTTTTTTTTTAATAAAGTACCCCTTTAAAAAAAAGTACCCCAATACCTACAGTTTTCAGACACATTTTTTTTCTACCATTACAACACATTTGTTTAAACAACTTAGTTGTAGCAGGGCAGGCAATGAAATTTGTGGGTGTAAAAAGTACAAAAATAATCAAGTGCTGTAAATCTAACAAAAATTCAATTTTCTCCAAATGTCAGTTGGATTGACGCACCCCCAGACTTCTCTCAAGTACCCCTAAGGATACTCGTCCCACTGGTTGAGAAACACTGAGCTACACAACGTCAGCGACGTCAATTGGGTAGCTAAAGTCGAAATAGCGTAACTCGGCTTCTGGCATTGTCTGCACAGCAAGAAATCAAAGGGAGAACACTTTCTCCGACGGCCCTTACTCCTTGTGAAATGGGGGTTACAGGAGTCCTCCAACTCGCTGTTATTTCGAAATAACAGCTTGCTGCGTGGAGCCGCTCTTTGTTATTCCGAAATAACGTTGCTGCGTAGACGGACCCATAGCGAAGGAATGCCTGCGGGCCTTTAGAAAGCTGCAGCTGAATCTGTTTGGGAGGCATTTCGAGGTGTACACCAGCCACTCCCCTGACCTGGCTGAACCAAATGAAAGGGGCTAATGCCAAGCTACTGCGCTGGAGCATGCTCCTGCGGGATTACGACCTGGACATGGTCCATGCTAAGGGGAGTGCCAATCTTATAGCAGATGCTTTATGCCGGAGCGGGGGGTCTGATCTACCCCAGGCCACAGGCAAAGTGGCCCTGCACCAATACCTGGATGGGGATGGGGATTTCTGTGTTGCGTCTCTCCCCCACGTACACCCTGGCTGATGCTTTCTGCAGCCTGATCCTGGGAGGGGGGGTGTAACCAGGTGGCACCTTTTTCCCCAGGAGGCTGGATAAAGGCTGGGGCTGGCTTCCGGGAGGGGGGGAGGGTCTCGCTGGCTTGGGGAGCAGAGATGGGGGGCAGGGTTCTTGGCTCTGAGCCTGCTCTCCCCAGGATGGACTGTGCTGACTGCTCCTGGTTCCGGTGCGGACAAGTCTGTTCTACGTGGGGTCCCCGTGGACTAATAAACCTTCTCTTCTACCTGCCGTCCGAGACTCACATCTGGCTGCAAATGCGGGGAGCAGGGCCCAGTGACTCCTCACACCTCCATGCAGCCTGGGGCCAAGACTGGGTCCGGGCAGACAGAGGCTTCACTTGGCTGGAGCAGGGGCGCCCCGCCTGGCTGCAGCATGGATCAACGGCCGCGATGGGAAGCCAAGGCAAAAATCCACCGCTCCCCTGCAGGCCTGTGCCTGGCTCAGCCCCACACGTCTCCGCAGACAGCCCCACGCCAGGGCACACAGCACAGGGGCATGCAGCCTGGCGCCCGCTCCTGGCACACACCGTGCTGTGGCACACCGCACACTCATGCACAGTTGCTGCAGATGCTCTCACACACCCGTGCACGCCCCGTCCCCCACTGAATGGGGGGGGCAGAGCCAGCCATTACCGCTACGCCGCCCCAGCCTGGTTCCCT